AGGAAAGCAACCCAATTCATTCAGTTCTATACAACAGCATCTATATTATGTACATGTTTAATTATCAACAGGAAATAGAAAATAAAATTTTACAGCAATTGAGAAGCAAAGGTTCAGAAAATGGGTCAGGAAAAGTAATACTGTATCATCAGAATATCCTCTTATCCTACCAGCTTTAATGACAGGGCTTTTCCTTTATTAGCTGAAATACAGAGAAGGTCTAGGGGATCCCAGGAAAATAACACCATGGATCAGAAAAGTCAACGTGCTCCATCATCAGGATTTCCATCACACATTTAATTTCTTCTGTACATATTTTATAAACTTTTTTCCTTGTCAAAATCATCAGATTTCCAGGTTAAATTCAGCACTACACAGTATGCCCTTGAAATAAAATGAGGTTACCTGCTTTATTTGGATACCAAGTTCCCTTCCAGACAGCATTAAAATAAAGACAAGTAAGACTACACAGATAAAATCCAGTATAATTCAAATCCAACAATGAAAAAGTTTCCCCATATTGTTGCAAAATTCTTTCTACTGAAATGCTTTGCTACAATAATAAAAAGCATACATTACATATAAAATATACCAGTGTACTAAAAAGTGACAGAAGTGGACTAGCAAATCCTTCAAAGCACATTATATAAATGACTAGCATTTAAAAACATTTCTCCTATAAAATGTAGGTCATATACATTTATAAATTGGCGGCTGTATTTCTAAAGCAGTGATGTGTGTTCAAATAGTTAGCTGTTCTGTACAGTTAGTATATACTCAATTCAAACTACATTAGGTTTGTCTTTCTTTGTACTGAAGTTGAATAAATTCATCTGATCAGCTGAGAAATTAAGTGTGAAAAACAAGTATCTAAAAATCAAAAGTAGAAAGTTTAGACTTCTTGAAATGTGGCTATTAAATGCGAAGAGAACGACCTATTTCACAATGGAGCTGAAGTCACCTCAAACTTATAGGCAGAAACAAATGTTGAAATCCAATGCAAATCACAAGGTTAGGTAGCAGTACAGAGAAGCAGGAAAGAAAACAAAACAAACAACACACCCCTTCCTTCAGTGTGATGGGCACTAAGTTTTGCGGTCTTCCTCCATCTTGCAGAAGAGTGGTAAGGCCATTCAATGCTTAGTGAGAAATGAGCACAGATGAAGCCAGATTTTAGCCTGTCTCCCCTGCAACTTCAATTAGGCTGTGTAAACAGTGTTACGTTCCAATAGGAGGAACAATGGAATCTGCTTATAAAAACTGATTAAAGATAATCATTATTAAATGAAGTAAGGATAATTGAGAACTCTGAAATGTTTTTAGAACTTTCCTGATGCTACTTGTAAAGTTAGCACTGCTATGTATTATTGCTTACATACAGTACAACATCATATGCCTTCTAACATAAAGCAGTACTGTGATTTGTTTGTACATATTTACAGATTCTTAAAAACAAGCTGTAAAAACATTACATACTTTCAGACAATACAAATTAGCACATTGGTACTCACTTTAAAACAAATGGAATGCATAACATTAATAAACATTGTAAAGGAAGACTCACATAAAAGTCCTTGATTGTCAAGACACGTTTATATATAAACTCTAACTGTGCAGAATTAAAGATTCAATCATAGGTACATCCTTATTTGATGAACCATATTTACAGCATGGTATTGCATAAAAAAATAAAATAATGTTTACAGGGTTTTACTTTTTTATCCATTGGATTAAAGAAAGCAACAAACATAACAAAGAAATGTTTGTCTGCTTTAGTTTGTTTCCTACCAAAGTTTATGTGAAAAAAGGAAACATAAGGTTTTTATTTGCAGATATAGCAAAAACTGGAAAATTATTTCCCTGAAATAAAGCAATTTGAAACTGAAAAAGTTTAAATTAAAATGCAGACTCAAAAATTTTTTCTCATTGACTATAATAGTGCTTCTTCAAGTAAATACATTGTGAAAAAAAATGAGTTCTAGTTTAAAATACTCTAAGAAATGTAGTACTATAGTAATGCCTACTTTAAAAGTTTTCCCGGCTTTTTTTTTGTTTTGTTTTAATTTTTTTTAACAGCCCTTTAAAAACCCAAATAAAATTAAAGAAGTGGCAAAATATCTAACCTAGCTGGCATTCTGCAAGGACCCTTCATTTATGGAAACAAACCTACCCTGAGCACAAGGCTTCTTCTACCTCTCAGAAAGATTACTTGACTCCTCACAATCAATCTTCAGCCAGGACTAAAGAGATTTCTACTGTATCAAGTAGAAAATTTACATACAGATAAAAAAAATTTTTTTAAGAGCCACTCAAATACTCAGAACCAAATGAATTATGTGTGCAATAAAAGGTTTTTTTAAAAAAAGACACAAAATCTTTTAGATGTTCAAGAGATATTACACCTCACCTAAGGTGACCAATTTCTAATTTTCAAACATGACACTATGTCCTAAGTGAAAAAGCACACCTTATTCATAGTGATCATCAAAAGTTTAAGGGTGTCACAGCATTGTTTTATTTAGCAATTTGCTTGCTCAGAGAAATGAGAAAATTTTTAGAAGGAAGGATATCTCATATCCTCCACGTTCGAATCTAAAGCAGTGCACAAGCCTATGGGTCTTCAGAGAGTCTATTAACGCTGAGATAGACATTAAATAACATTCTGGATCAAAATGGGGAACCCAAACTACTGAGATGTTCATCACAGTAATGACAAGACAAGGTAACTCTGGTAGGCATTTATAATTTCACAGTAAGAGAATGACTATATGTAAATGGTAATTTAATAATTTATGCTGCTAAATATCACTTATCTAAAAAATGCTTATAACATGGTAGAAAAATCTGCCATCATGTAGATTTAAAGAAATGTGTTAAAGACAGAAAGGCAACACTCGAATTCTGCCTGCATATTACCCTTTCCAAGGGCTTTCTTTTCTAAGCTGACCCTAACTGCTCAAATAATAGATTCACAAAAAAAACTGTGCTGGTGATGTTGAAATAAACAACTAACAACAAAAAACTTTATACTGTAAAAAGAACTATATTAAGTTCTCAATGGAACAAAATTTTCATCAGGCTTGGGGGAAAAAAAATCAATGCAGGAAATAAATGCCTACTATCATAGCAAATTCTATGAAAGAATGCAAATGGCTATTTCATGTAAGCACTGTTCCACTGAAGATCTCACCTGAATGAAGCCTTCCTGCAATCAGAAGATGTACAGCACAACACACTCCAACCTTAGGAATCAATAATGGCAGAACTTAAATAGCTACTTTAGTCTAGTTCTTTCCAGAATTTGGCAGCAATGAAAGCTGTCAAATGGGAAAACTAGCATTTCAAGCAAAGCTTAACAACCAAAGTGGAAAGGAAACCACATTAAACATAATTAATATTCTTTATCATAAAATATATTTGAAATAAATGTGAAGGGTTTTGGGGTGAACATTTCTTTGTTCCCTTTATTTCTTTTTTGTAAATGAGAACAGTCTTAGGATGTCATTAAATAAAAGAAAAAATAATTTAAATGAATAACATATTCTATGTTGAAACAAGGTAGATTAATAGGGCCAATATATAGGCGACAATGGAAAGTAACAATAATTAAATCCTATCTTCCAAAAGTATTAATTTTAGATGGTCACTGGTTATATCAGTATGTGCATTCTGACAAAAGATGTGAGAAACTTTAAATAAGGAAACCAAAAAGTTGGAACAAATGAAAAGTGAGAAAAGAATTAGTATAATTAATGTTATTTTTTTAAAAAAATCAAAACTATCCAATATGTAACTCAAACCATCATTCTTCAGAAAAGAGTATTTATATATAGATATAGATATATATAGAGATATATAAAATCACTATTGTACCATGCTGTATTAAGACAAAGTATTTTTTTTAAAAAAAAAACCATTCGTGGTATAAGGATAAAGTCTGTAGTTTATTTAGATTTAGAAACGCAACAAAAAATTTCCGATTACTCATCTGGCTGAAAAAGAAATTTTCGTTACTAGAATTAGTAAACACTTTTGGTTTGTAAAATTGTAATGAGTAATGTCCATTAAAAATGTAACTCAAGATAAAATAAGCAATTAAAATGCCCATTTCTTTAGTTTCTCTGGATACTGTTTAATTCATTATCCAATTAATTAAGATTCTAGAAAGAGAAGAATTAAAGCAGGCTTTACAGCTCCAAAGACAACCCAATTTCGTTTTATTGCCAAAAATTAAAACGGTCAATTATGAGATGATTATGACACAACCATATCAAACCTAAAAAAAAATCTAATTTTTGTTTACTTTGAGAAATCAAAAATACCAAATAGACTCTAAGTGCTCTATGTTAACTGAAGTGTATATGTAAAGTAAAATACAATTATGCTTTAAAACGTGGAATACATTTTGTATAAGCATTATGTTCTTGGGAATGTAATCTACAGATTATTTTTTTACTAAAACTTCAAAACCTTGATACCTGCACATGAAAAAAATCATAAAAAATATCTAAGTACAACTGTACAAAGAAACTAATACCAATATGCATACTTCCATAGAAGTATGAACTGCTGCAACAGTTGTATATTTTGGTAAAAGTTTTGAAAGTATGCATATTTTAAAAGTAATTAGGCTTTTAAATAGTGGAGTCTTAGACTATCAGATTTTTTATTACTTTTTTTCCCCCTCAAAAAAACCCACATATCAATATAATGCAAAATGAAAATCAAGGGTATATGGCATATCATTCTTTTTAAAGGTGGTTTCTTTTCCCCCCCATAGGACGCACAAATTTATTTAAGCCATAATCTCTTGACATTTAAACTTTTAAATTCACTCTGTCTGTAAAGTATATTCCGATTCCCTGCTGAAGTGCAATGACTACGCTGAAAAACTTAGAAACAGTATGAGTAAATTTCACACAATTACTAATCTCCTAGAATGTACAATGATATCAATTAGGAAACAATTGTGCGAAAGTAATTTTTTTTTTCCTTTTAACTTGGTGTAGGTAGAATAGCAAGTTTCTGAGCTAAAACAAGTAATGCATTGCTTCTAAAAGGTGACAACATATAAGGCAGTTCAAAGAATGCTGACTAATCAAACAAAATGCAGTTATTGGATTATCTTGCTATTCCTATCAGTTTAACTTGTTATAACACATTGCTTTTAAATCTGTACAGCACTCCATCTTATACAGAGTAACCCCACCCTTGATTAATCTGTTCTAAAGTGCCAGTATTATTTACATTTTTTTTTTTTTTTAGCCAAAAGTCTGGCCAGTTGTGGCATCTGGTGACGATGTCATCCCAGCTCTGTTATCATTTACATTCACCAAGGGAAATTCTGGAAATTCAGCACTTGTCCCTGGTCCCCGAAGGTTCACCTGTCCATTGGCAGTGCTAAATTGAGTAGCTATTCCAGCTCTTGATCCATGATACGGAGCACGGAAGGGCTGTTCAAAAGAGCTCATTTGGTAAGCTTGATGGACAGGCTGAGCCTCGGCTTTCTTCTGAGAAGTCACTTGATCCAAAAAGTCCTGTGTTGATGTGGCAGAAGCATGGTTTGTTTCATCACCTGAAAAGGGAAATGCGTGCTGTGAATCACCAACTATGAGTCCAAAGTGAGACTTATCTGGAGTTGTTCTTAGTGGAGAATTCATTCCTGATCGAAAGCTATTGATGGGCATGGCTGCATAGACTTGTTTGTCTATGGAAGAGAATGCTGGCTGATTTGGAAGGGTCTGGTTATCAGTCACAAAGTTAAGGCTCGGGCTATTCAAATAGGCATCATTTTGGCTAGTTCTGTCCAAAGCCTGCTGCAAAAATTTGGAGTACTCTTGCAACATGTTGGCTTTATCTGAAGAGGATGCTTGGGAGCTTGATCCAACATTCTCTGACTGGGTGACCTCAGGTACTTCTGAAGAATTTATTGATATGCTAGAAGTCACTTCAGTGTCAGCAACATTGAATGCTATTTCATGCTGTCCATTAGCTTTATGGGAATAATGATCTAACAGAGTCTGCAGTACCTCATCCGGAATAACATTTTTGTCATGATTACCCTTGATTTCCACATTCAATGCCTGTGAATCCAATATGGATGCTGTGGCACTTTCGTCAATGACACTTGCCACAGCGGCTTGAGTTACAGAAGGCTGTGAAGCTATAGTACCCACATTCAGCGCATACTCCCTACTATTGTTACTTGCTGCTTGAAGATACCGTTTTTTCTTCAAAAACTGCATGGCATCATCATAATTAGTACTACTATGCACAGGTTTACTGGGCCCCTCTTGCAAATTATCAACTTGATCAATATCAGCATTGCCTTCTGAGTCTAGTAAAGCTTGTTTATCCACAAGTTCAAACGCATACTTTGAAACTTTGCTCTCTTCATATGTGGATAAAGGTGAAATTGTCTGATTTTGCTCCAGTGGTTGTTTCAGGCTTCTCTTACTATTAATTTTTTTGAGAACCAGCTTAGGTGGGTGTATTTCCCCTGATGCATCTTCTAAATGTGATCCCCCAACTGAAGAATGGGGCATTTCAACAGCATATTCAGCTACCATATATTCATCCTTTACTTTAGTACTTGATGAATAAAGTGGCAAGTAATCATTTTTGTCTTTCTTCAAGTCAGATTTGTCCATACCACTCTCTTTATCCATCCCAGATGATTTTTTCTCATTTTTCTGCCTTTTCTTTTTTGGCAGTGAGTTATCTTTTGGTGATGTAGAAAAGCCAGAATCTTCCTCAGATGTCAAAAGGCCACCTTTGATGGCACATCTGTTTAGTTTCTTGTCATGATTTTCATGGCACATACGTTTATGTTTCAATACACGGTCTGTTCTGGAAAAATACTGTCAAATTCAGAGCGCAGTAGTAGGTTTTTTGGTTTGTTTTAGTCAATAAAGGGGAAAAAAGGGGAGGAAAGAGAGAAGAAATTAGTATTAAAATATACATAAAATAGCACATATAATTATAAACTAATTTACAGAGTCAATTTTCTTTAAAAACCTAACTCAAGAATTTTCAAATAAGTCTATCAGTAAATAACATTTTAACTTATTAGAATAATTTTATAATTTAATTTTAGATAAATAACTTAAAATTATCTCTTACCTGTAAACAGTATTCACACTGGTAAGGTTTTTCTCCACTGTGAGTTCTCTTATGCCTTTCCATATGATATTTTTGTATGAATCTCATACCACATTCATCACAACGAAATGGTTTTTCACCTGGTATATGATAAAGTTTAAAACAAAAGTTGTAAAGTAATGAATTTTTTCACATACTAATTTCTAATGTAAGTATCTTTTAAAAGTTGCATAATAACTTTCGATAACTTTTCAAATGAGAAAAGAGTTTCTTATATTTTGCTTTAAAAAATTAAAAGAACTAGAATATTCAAGTGGATAGAAAAATCGGTAAGCAGGCAAACTCAATTTTTCACTTTTCTCTATGTATATATGGAATTTATGGCACCATGAACATTATTTTAATAGTTACCTCTAATCTTTAGTATTTTAAAAATAACACTTTTTAAATTCCACGTGAGGAACATTATGGAGATCTGAAATAGTGTATGATAAAAGCACAATCTAAATAGAAAGCTGTGACAAGAAGTTATCTTGGCTAATAATTATTTGCAAAGCTACTATATTTCTGTTTCTACTTTCCATATAGTTGACATAATTTTTCTCCCCTACAAACAGACACATTATTTGTGTGTAAACCATTTAGGGCATAGTTGGAAAACCAAGATTCATATATACTAAAAAGATATCAAAATAAAGTTCCACTGTTGTCTACCTTGGTAACTTTATTTCCCACTGGAGAATTCTTTTCTCCAGTCAAGCCCAAATACAGACTATGTCATGTTTTCCAAATTCCTTGGCCTGGTTCATGGGTTAGGAATGCCTCTGTATGTTTGGGCACTATATTTCCTTCAAGACCAAATTAATTTCCTCTTTGCTCTATATCCTCGGGGAAAATATATCTTCATTTTCTTTTATATTTCCATAGAACTCCATATGTACTTTTCCAATTCAGTAGTTATTCTGTACATTATTTCTAGTCTTCTAATAGATCACATATCTTTAAGTGAGGTTGTGCTGCAGCTCAATTCAATTCACTGCTGTCAATGTGGAACCAACTTACAGCTGACCCTCCCCTGGGATTCTGAGGTTAGAAATCTCAAGGGAGGAGATGGTCCACCTTTCTCTTGCAGATCTCCTAGTTTATCTTTAAATAACCTCAAGTACCTTGAGAAATTTTTCAGTCCCAAATAAACAGCATTAAAGATAATTACAGTGTTTTAGTGGGAAAAATATTACTGTCAGCTGGTATGATTTAGAACAGCTTCTGTGAAGAGTTAGAAGAACCGAGGCTAGGAAGCCCTTGGAGAGAGTATATATACCTCATTAAAGTCAGAAAAGAAGCTAGTATCTCAGGGGAAACAGAGCAATTAAGAATCCATATACCAGAAGGTGTATCTAAAAAGATAATTCAATATGACACATATAAATTATTTGAAACCTGCGTAAGTGCAAAATTAGTAATTGCTATGAAGTTTCCAGATTTTAGGGCTAAAGAGACTTTGCAATGCCTTTCAAATTGGTGCCCCTGTGGGGTTCCAGAGAGGCTCTCTAGAGCTACTTCTGATGCAGCAAAAAGTTTTAAGCTGGCTATCCACAACTCAATACAAAATAATTTTTTGTTTACCGGTAAGTATTCTTAGTTCGAATGAGCTCATTTGGTCTACACTCACTGGTGCTCAAGGTCTCAAACCTGTTCCTGAGATGGTTTTGAAATTCGAAATTTCCCACGTGAATTTCAAAACCATCTCAGGAACAGGTTTGAGGCCTTGAGCACCAATAAGCATAGACCAAATGAGCTCTGGGAGGATATCAAGAAAATTGTCCATGAAAAATGCAAAAGATCATTACAAAAGCTGAAGAAGAAGAAAAGGCCATCATGGATGTCAGATGAGACTTTGAGTATTGCATAAGAGCGTCGAGAAGCCAAAGCTAAAGGAAGAAATCAAGGAATCAAAGAGCTGAACAGAAAATTTCAAAAGGCAGCTTGGGACGACAAAGCAAGATACTATAATGAAACGGGCAGAGAGCTGGAGTGAGAAAATCAAAAGGGCCGAACTCACTCAGCATTTCTTAACCTAAAGAAAGGAGCTGAAAAACAAATTCAAGCCACGGGTGGCAATACTTAAGCAGAGTTTCAGTAGAATGTTGAAGTATTACACAGAGTCACTGTATCAGAAGGAATTGGCTGACACGGAGGAATTAAATGAAATAACATATGAGCAAGAGCCTATGGTGATGAAGGAGGAAGTTCAAGTTGCTCTGAAGAAATTGGCAAAAAACAAGGCTCCAGGAGTTGACAGCATACCAACTGATTTATTTCAACAAACAGACGCTGCCCTGGATATGCTCACTAAGTTGTGCTAAGAAATCTGGAGGAGAGCCAACTGACTGAAAGAGATCGATATTTGTTCCCATTCCAAAGAAAGGTGACCCAACAGAGTGTGGAAATTATCAAACAATATCATCGATATCACATGTAAGCAAGATTCTGCTGAAAATTATCCAAAAACGTTTAGAACAATATGTCAACAGTGAACTGCCAGATGTGCAGGCTGGATTTAGAAGAGGTCGTGGTACTAGGGATATTATAGCTAATGTTAGATGGATCTTGGCAGAAAGCAGAGAATACCAGAAGAATGTCTATCTGTGCTTCATTGACTATGCAAAGGCTTTTGACTGTGGGGATCACAACAAGTTATGGCTGACTCTGAGAAGAATGGGAATCCCAGAACATCTGATTGTGCTAATGTAAAACCTAAACTTGGACCAAAAGGCAGTCGTCAGAACAGAGCAAGGAGACACTACATGGTTCAAAATCAAGAAAGGGGTCTGTCAGAGATGTATTTTGTCTCCATACCTTTTCAATCTGTATGCAGAACAGATCACCTGAGACGCGTGGAAGAATTATCAACAACCTGCATTATGTGGATGGTACAACCCTGCTTGCTGAAACGGAGAAGGACCTGAAGCACTTGCTGCAGAAGGTCAAGGACTGCAGCCTTCAGTATGGATTGAAACTCAACATCAAGAAAACAAAGATTCTTACCACTGGGCCAATTGGCAGCATCAGTATGGACGGTGAAGAGACTGAGATAGTTAACAGTTTTAGTTTGCCTGGTTCCACAGTCAACACTCTTGGTAACAGCAGCCAGGAAATCAGGAGATGAATTGCACTGGGAAAGTCACCTGTGAGGGACCTCTCAAGAGTACTGAAGAGCAACGACATCAGGCTGGAGACTAAGGTGCGCCTGATCCAGGCTATAGTCCTCAATTACGTGCTATGCACTGGAGAGGTGGACAGTGAATAGGGATGACAGAAAGAGAATTGATGCCTTTGAGCTGTGGTGCTGGAGAAGAGTGTTGAATATACCATGGACTGCTAGGAGAACAAACAGGTTTGCCCCGGAGAGGGTGAAAGCCGGAGTGCTCCTTGGAGTCAAGTATTCTGAAGCTTTGTCTGTTAAACTTTGGGCATGTTGCAAGGTGGGACTGGTCCTGGGAGAGGGACATCATGTTTGGCAGAGTGGAGGGACGGCGAAGGAGAGGAAGACCCTCAATGAGATGGATTGATTCTCTGAGTGGAGTGGTGGGAATGAGTGTGTCTGAGATGGTGAGGTTGGCACAGGATAGAATGGCATTTAGGGCTCTTGTACACAGGGTTGCTATGAGTCACAAGCAACTCAATGGCACATAACAACAACAACAACATCATTCTTAGTTCTTAGAACTAAGGGTTCCAAGGTCAGGAAAATATCTTACTACAACCAATCTAGCTTGTTTTAAAGAAAAGAAAATTTGAAATCTTCGGGTAAAAAAAAACAACACCACAAACAACTGCTATCTTTTGGTTTCTTGTCCAATTTTCCTTGTACTATAGCATACTGCTTCAAAAAGGCCCAAGTAAATGGGGAGGCAACAACAGAAACTGGTAGAGAGAGGACTGTTTATTAAGGAAGTTTAGAAATAAAATGAGAAAAAGGACATGGAACATAGATAGCCAGGAGGTAAACAAAATCAAGGGGAAACTGAAATAAAATGGAATATTACGGGGGGGGGGGGGGAATCAAAAGAACAAAATCCTACCAAAACCAAGATAGGGGAAAGAAAACAAGAGTCTATCTTTGCAAAGAAGAAAAAATAAATGTAGATTTTGAGATGGAAAACGTTCAGTACATCTCATTATGATTAGAAATTAAAACCATTTCTAAAAAAATGAGGATAAATTAAAGAAAAAATTAGGAGAAATTATTAAAATGCAATTAATTTTGTATGATGTTTATAGATTAGAAAGCTTTCTATCTCAAAGTTATCTATAGATTTGATGCAGAATTGACAAAAGGATCCTAAAATTAGTATAGAGATGTAAGACTATGCAAAAGCAATCTTGAAAAAGATTAAGAGAAATTTGCAACCTTACTACAAAACTACAATAATCAAGAGAACATGGTAAAAAAAAAAAAAAAAAAAAGAGAACATGGTAATGGCATAAGAATAAATATGTATCAAGGAACAGGATTGAAATTTGAGAAATAAACCCTTTTCACGTTTTGATCTTCTTCAAAGATGCCAAGAGTGACAGTTTCCCCATTATTTGAATGAAAGTCCACCTTTCTTAATCCTATTTCTTAATCATTTTCTCATTACAAGCTAATAATTTCCACAAGCCTGACTTTAGCACTTCTCTTATACTGGTCTGACTATTCCTAAGTTAGAACCAAAGTATTTCCTTTAGTAAGGCTTTATAATTTAATAAAAAAAGCTAATTATCCTCATTGTTCTCCTTTTGTCTTTCAGGTTTGCTTTATTTTTCTACTTGTGTTGGAATCAGTGAGACTGGTTCAGGACAGGGCAGGCTTCAGACCTGCTGTACACAGGATCATTATGGGCTGTAGGTGACACAATGATACATCATAACAACAACATTAGGGAATGTATGCTATCAATCGATCCCAACTTGATGGCAATGAGCTGAGAATTGGGAAGAAGCCCTACTGGTGTAGTGATTTGAGTGCTCAGTCGTGAACAGAAAGGCTGACAAGTTTAAATCTGCCAACTGGGTTTTTTTTGGGGTTCTTTTATTTAAATATTTTTGTATTTGTTATTTTTTTTTTTCTGGGACAACAATAAGAAAGTCAAAA